ATATTTAAACATCTCCAGGAGAGGGCAAAAGTCGCAGCCGAGAAGCAGGCAGCAGAGCGTGAGAAGGTTAAGGCCGAATGCTGGGTTTCGCTATTTTGTGCTGTATGGCTTAATCAATCCTAAACCCTAAACCCTAAACCCCTAAACCCTAAATAAGGTTTTCTCTCAGTCGTCTGCAGGCGAACTTGCAAATTCTGAAGTCGATGATGCCGGAGGAGCATTACAAGGAGTTGGAAGCCGAGGACTGGCTGATTCCATTATCGATCGAAAGTAAAGCATATATATATATATGTTTGTATACGTATTTTGTATATATGTACATGCATCTAATACATATATATATATATATGTATGTATTATGTCTGTATATATATATATACATATGTATAGGCCCAAACCCGAAGCCCTAAGCTTCACTCTCCATGATTGATCGACAGATCAGGAAGACGAGAAGAAAAAGGAGCGACGCAACGCATACATGCGGTTCCACCGCATGAGAAGCAGTGCCCTGGATTGCAACAAAAAGCCCCAAACCCGAAAGCTTCAAACATAAAAAAGCAATGCATGCTACCTCACTTATGCAAGCCCGGCCCTAACTACAAAGTGGCTGACTTGGCCTTTAGTCTTGCACTTGAAACCCTATACTTGCAAGCCCAGGCCATGAAAGGTCGCAATGCCCCCCATATCCCGATATTCGTTCAACCTTTAATTCGAGCTGCCCAACAACCCTGGAATCACCCAAAAAATATCCTGAAGCCTGAAGCTAAAACCCCGTGGTGGCCGAGGTCCCAACGCCCCGCAGGCAGTCATCGATGCCTTTGAGAAGTGCAAGGATGCCAGCGGTGGCTCGTTTTCTGCTCAAAACCCTAAATAACCCTAAACCCTAAAGCCTAACCTCCCTTCATAACAACCCGCTAAATAACCCTAAACCCTAAATCCTAACCTCCCTTCATAACAACCCTAAATAACCCTAAACCCTAAAGCCTAACCTCCCTTCATAACAGGTTGTGCCGATCTGGGTTAGGTTGGGTTTCAAGCTTCGGTTCAGACTCTGAGGCAAGACCAACAGGGCCAAGTTGCAGAAGTTGTTTACTCAGTACATGGATGCCGGGGAGGATTGGGGCGAGTGTGAGCTCGTCTTGACATCCCAGCAGACCAATTCGAATGTGCAGAGAAACCAGTACAGGCTCATGACTCGCAAGGACCGACATTGACCTTTTTTTGCATGTTAACCAGTCGACCAGTCCTAAATGAGGCCTGGAACCCTAAAGCCCCAACCCTGAAACCTCAACCCCCAACTATGTGGCACTTTCTTTCAGGATCTCCTCGACAAATACAAGAACGAAACGATCGTCGACAGCATTATTCAGCGCAAGGAATCCTGATTAGAGGGCCTGTTTGAGGTGGTGTATTTTTTGCTTAGTTAATGTATAATGCAATTTAGTGGTTCATACTTCTTGGTCCTATCGATCGATACAACACAATAGCAGGAGCAAGCTGGATTGGGCCAGGACAATCCTGACGCGCCAGGCGTCGAGGCCGGGGTTCAGTTGGGAGAACTAGTTGCTAACCCCCAAAGCCAAAACCCTAAACCCTCTTAATATCTTAGAATATGTATAGTGCCGGTGTATAGTGCCGGGTGAAAGATCTTCTTTTAGCCCTGTTTCCAGGAGCTTCGGTGCTGGAGGTGCTGGGATGCAAGCACCGAGATGGATGAGGATGTCAATCGGCAAAGTGCTACACGGGAGCGAGCTGCTGGAGCCGGGCCAGCCTCGTCGGGCTTGGCAGCCGCCGGCGGTGCCGATGGCGGTGCAGGACCTCCGGGTGAAAACAAGGAGACGAAGGAGAAGAAAGAGAAGAAGGAGAAGAAGGAGCCGAAAAAAAAGACTGTGGAACAGCAAGCAAAGTCAGTGCTTCGTACGCATTATGATGCATCGTTTAAAACCGTTGTAATATATATTGTATGATGAACTATGTACGTACTGGTTGGATTGACTAAACATCACTACCAGGCTATGGCCCTGGTCAACGGCAATCTTCTCGAGATCCAAAGCTTTGAGTACAAGCTCAAGAAGAACAACGTGTGGCTTGGCATAAGCCTGGAATCATTTTTTAGACTTCATCAGCTAGATAAGATCATCAATATTCTTGGTTACAACACCCAATATCTCAGGGATGCACACCTGGTGATGGCACTCGTGCAGAGCATGAACTCTCAGGCGGAGACACTCCGTGAGGCGCGAGGACGCCTGGAGGCCAGAGGCTAATGCGAAATCTTATAATTTAATCCTAAACCCTACACCCCTAAACCCTACACCCCTAAACCCTAAACCCTAAAATGGTGGACACCTCGACTGAAGCCCGGTCCAGCTATACTCCGAAAGCCTGATCAATCCGCTGCCCAATCACCCGGAAACCAAAAGCCAGCAAACATCAACTCGGTACACACCCCTAAACCTCAACCTGTACTGCTGCACGACAACCCGTAAGCTTTATCCTTTAACTACATCGTCGTCAAACTACTACACGATTAAATGCCCAGCCCGAACCACAAACCCAATAATCTGAAGCCCAGCTAATATATAATACCCTTTCCAAGGCCGCTTTGGCATGCGGTGCTGCCTCGGAAGACCTCGAGCCCCTCGTGTATCAGCTTAATTTTTCCAATGATACCTACAAGGAGGCAAGCAAGCATGTACGCCTCCACCTTCAGGCACCGAAACCCAAAGGGACCTCGAAGGCAAAGGCCAAGGCTAAGACCCCTGCTAAGAAGTAGTGTCTTAGTGGTATGGTGGTGGGCTGCAGCTTAAAGGTTCCAAGTCGGGTGCCATTTTGATGTCATGCGGCCTTAGCCTGAGCTTTGGGGGTTCATCGATCTTTCCCAGCGAGGGAATTTTAAAACCTTCCGCAGCTTGATCGGGAGAGTGTGTCGGGGTACCCCTAGGATGTTTAGTCTAAAGCCGGGATGAATGCACATATAGCAGTTCTAGATCCTGCATTGGGTCCCTAGCCTAGCTGCACCTCTACAGACACGATGTAGCATCGAGGGGTGGTTGTTCACACTCGGGAGCCTGATCTGCCGGCTGCACGTGGATCATCAATCACGACGAGGCTAGAAAAAGAGTGAGCTACTTTCCCAAAATCCCTAAACCCTAATATACCCATAGTCTCCATATGTAGTTCCTTTAGGTTAACCAAAATCTCTATCATAGGATCCTAACCATTAAACTGGTTAACCCAAAAAAAGGAACTACAATGGAGACTATAGGTATTAGAAGATTCTTCATAAGATGCAAGGCTCCCCTGCCCTAGTCCGACCTCGCCCCAAACAGCAGTAGTTCCTGGCCCCACTAGAACCCACATCGCCCGCCTCTGCATTCAAAGCACCCAGGTTCGCAGGCATCGTGCACCTCAAACGAAAGTGGCCCCAGCTTGAACACGAAATCCTAGCAACCATATAATAATACCATTATTAATAGTGCACTTAGGGCTCTGTATAATTAGCTTCAGGTTTTAGGGTTTCTGGTTTAGGGTTTCCTTGAATTAGGGGCTGAGGGGTTTAGGGATCGGCTTTAGGAATCAAGTCCGAGATCTACAGCTGCAGGTCTATCAAAAATAGCATATTCGTCCAACGGCCAAGAAAGCCCAGACCCAAGCCCCTCAACCTAATCCTTATGTCGTGGCCCAGACCCCATGTACCCAAACTGCAAGCCAAACCAAAAGCCTGGACCCTGATTCCTACCCTAAGCCAAAGCGCCTGGACTGCCTGGACTTGTGTGTAAAATTTTCTTGTGTGCATGAATGGTCTAGGATCGGCTGGTGTTTCAGTTTAGGGTTTCGGGCTTAGGGCTCCGATGTGATTGCATGACTAGCGGATTCGGCTTTTGGGTCGAAGGGCTTATTAGTGATCGGTTTGCATTCGAATCGGCTATCTATCTATATATATATATGTATATATATATATAATAACATTAATATCGATAATAATATTATATATATATATATATATATATAGATAGATAGCCGATTCGAATGCAAACCGATCACCAAAGCTTCAGCCCCAACCAGGTAACCACCTGAAAACCAGTATTCAAAGAGCCCCGAAAAGCCCAGACCCGAGACTCCGCAAGTTAGCTTGCTTCCTAGCCGGGACCCCATGTACTGAAATCCCAACTTTAAAGCTTTAGCCCGGCCCGGACATAAACCCAAGGCCTAAACCCTGAGCCCAGCCTATGCCAAAGTGCCTAAACCTATCCACAAAACCCACAATCCAATGAGTGCTGAGCTTCAGCCTTCTCGCAGGACCTCACCTGGACGGCTTCGGTGAGAGTTGCTTTGCTCTCGAAACCGGGGGCCGGAATGCCGTTAAGTATCGATCGAAATGCTCATGTAGTTACGCTTGCTTGGCTGGATCGGAGACGGTGGCGACGGAAGCTACACAATAAAGTGGGCAGCCTCTGGCTCGACGAGGATCCCGATCGTCAGCATTACATAGACTGGGCAGCAATATCAAACTTGGGAGATTGCTGCCATCGCTCAGAGGAGCTGTGGCTGGAGATACAAGAGCGAGTGGGGCATACGGTCTTGCTTGCAGATTATTCCGAACAGTGCTATCGTGCGCTCCGGTTCATGTACAGCCCTGTAGCAGTGAAGCTAGACGAAATGGATTAAGAGCAGATGCAAAAACAGTGTTGAACCTACCGTTGCAGTACCCAATGCCTGCAGACCCCAAACCCTAATCGTATACCAACCCAAAACTCTTAAACCAAGACGACAAACTACAACCTCGGGTAGCATACCTTACCTCGCAACCTTACGGGCCCTAAACCAATGCATCTACAAGCCGAGTTTTCAAGTAAGGAAAGACCTAACAACAATCATAACCCTTAATCTCAAAACCCGAAATCAAAATCTTTCAGAGAACTCGCTGATCTCCCAAACCGACGTCGAAACGAACCTCGCCCCCCTTCGCAGATGAAGAGACTGCCTTCGCCGACCATATGCTCGCCACTCTGGGCCGCGGTGACGCCTGGCAGGATAATTCGCATAAGGTTATATAATTAATTGCTCTCTAAAGCCGCTAATCCGGAAGCACGGTATTATATATTATTATATAATATATTATTATATAATAATATATAATATCGTGCTTCCGGATTAGCGGCTTTAGAGAGCAAACCGAGGCCACTTCAGTGGCCGAGATGCAGAAGGCAGCAGCAGCGATGGTGAAGGAGAGTCGTGGCAATTGCAGCTCAGCCACGAAGATGATGGCAAGAGCTGGCACTTCGGGGAAACACCCCAACAACATAGAGCGAGATATCATGAGACATTTGGGGCTGCCACTCCCGATTCATTGGATCACTGTGCCGGTGTTGTCAGCGAGAGACCGAAAGACTCGGTCGGAGCTGCGGCTTCCCTACTTGATGCCCCACGAATTGGTGCACTACCTTCATGCGACTCGACAGAACAGTATAGATCGAATTCAGTTTATTACTATTAATGTTATTAAGTCTAGGATACCCAGAAACCTGAGAATAAAAAGGCATCTCTTTTTATAATTAATGGTATTTCTACAAAAAGGGAATAAGGGTACTACTGGGCATCCTAATCATCGATGTCTTGACCAGAGTTTAGCCGATTGGGTTCAACTCTTCAGGAGACGCAGCAAGTGCAGATCATGCAGGAGTCGGTGAATGAGTTCTGGGCACATGCTGCCCAGCACACCGATTGGGCTGCCCATCATGAGGGCTTCGGGACTATGCCGCTGGGTCTCCACGGCGACGACGGCCGTTACAATATGGCTTCAGACAAGGTAATACTTGTAACGCTGAACTTTGTCTTGGGGAGAGATGTGAGCCGACACCCAGCTGAAACTAATTTGATGGTTGCAGATTATCGCTAGGGTCCGAGCACTAGTACTAGCTAGCAATATTAATCTACTAGATCCTAGATCTATGTGACATGATAAGCTGGGTTCCACCCCTGTCTTATATCCGGCAAGGCGGCCTCCAGATGCGATACCCGCTGATGAATCTTCGCGAATTCATCTGCCTGGGCCCAGAGACACTCAACCCCGTCATGGAGGTGCTGTCATGGAGTTTCGGCCAACTTGCAGCCGGCTACCACCCTCAACATGATATGCACGGAAATCCATACCAAGGGAAGTTCACTGCTGGCTCTGCGATCGCAGGCCTCAACGTCCCAGCTAAAACCGGCTCCATGTCGTGGCCTGAAGCTAAAAAGGGGTCTAGTTTGGCCGGTTCGGATGGAGTGTTTTGGGTATGGGTTATCTAATCCGAAGTCCCGTCAGGAGGGCGACACTACCTCATCGAGATGCGGGGGGACTGGAAGTGGCAGAAAGCCTTCTTCTGCCTCAAGCCGAGCTGGCAGTCTGTGAACATATGTCATATATGCGATGCCCAAAGTCGAGGCGATCGTTCGTGCCTGGTTTGCAATCAGCCCAAACGTCCGATCTTCCCTAGAACTGCTCTGTTTTGGGTGAAACAAGATACGCCAAAACCAAAGGTGGAAGAGTTCACTCACCCGCTGCTTCCAAAGACGAGACCCTGTGGATGTGATTCTGTCGCAGATGAGGCCTGTGATCCAAAGTAATAAGCTTAAGCTTACTGGGCCCCCTTCACAAGCCTCGAGAACCCTCAAGTATGTATCCGATACAACCAAATTAAAGCCCGAACTCTCCATCTAAGCTTGCTGCACTGCCACTATACCCTTTCTGCCCTAAACCGTATGAACCCTAAGCCCCTTCTGCCCTAAACCGTATGAACCCTAAACCCCTTCTGCCCTAAACCGTATAAACCCTAAACCTTTTTTTGGTCTCCCGCTTGGCAACCCAATCTGCAATCCCTGCCAGCCGCCCCGCGAATCCTTTGATTCTGGTACCCGGCTTCCGGCCGGAGTTCATCCGCATTTGCGCCATGCACACATTACACCTGGGTGTTTTGCAGCTGCTGAATGGGTCCATCTTCACACTTCTAGAAGATCTCTGCCACGTGGCTTAACTTCGTCATGTCTCTCCAGGGTTTTGGTGTGAAGGTTCGTACGAGGCCCCCCTCAAGCTGACAAGGCTGGTTCCGTGCTGATGACGCTGGGCCGAGTATCAAGCTCCCAGAAAAAATGATCCTGCTGTGCTCTCGCTTCAAGAGCTGGGCGAGCGCCAATCAGCTCAAGCGACTCGACTTGACATTCAGTAATATGTTAAATAAGTCTTTGCGGTCTTCAATAACCCGCACAACGCTTCGGAACCCAAAGCTGAATTCGGCAATTGCAAGGCATTCGCAGGCGACGATGACATCTGGGATGTTGGGGTTCGAGGGAGGGGCTTACCCCTCATTGAATCTCAAAGCTTGGAATTCTCGGCTTTTTGTGGTCTTCTTCGAGGTCGTGTTGAAGGAGCTCGTTGCAAGGGACACGGCTGCAGGCAACGAGCTCTTATGCAAAGAGCTCAAACTGGCATCTGCTGCCACGACGGCGATGTGTGCC